CCCCAAAACCCCAAAACCCCAAAACCCCTAAGCAATGATATAAAGCATGTTAATGAATTAAATAATATTTATTTTCAAATAATTTTACTTTAACCTCCTTGCTAGAAATAGCTAAACTCAAGCTAATGTTGAGGAAACTCTTTAATTAATCTCATGTAATCATCCAATGGAAGAAAAGCAAATTTACTCACCATTCTAATAACCCTATGTCTTTTTATCAAGAATTATTAAACAATATCGTAATTTAGTTTCAATGTACTCTCGAAAAAAGAAATCTTTTGATTATCTACAAGAAATTATAGCAAACATGAAGCATCTATTCTGGACTCTGTAAAATATATTGCCAATTGAATTAGATTCGACAATGGTCTCAAGGTATTTTCAACTAAATACTTCAAATCCTCTTCATATCTTTCTTGAAAGTTTATTTTTAAAACTCGTAGATTCTTAAACATGCTCAAAATATTCCATAAAGGCATTTTAAGCTCGTTAATTTATTGCTTGCCATTAAATTTATTATCAATCTGACTTAAGAGTGTAATTATTTAACTAGATACGTTAACATATAATTCCTGTATTTTATTCATGTTGAGTGATCCCAGTAGAAAAGCAGCATTTTAATAATAAGAGTCATGTTCTTTTCTAGAGAATTTGTCGATTAAAGAAAATTCTAGAGTTCTTAAGGTTTCATTGCTTGCATCAAATAATTATTGGCAATAATTCTAGAACTTTAAATGGTTGTGATTATGCAATATCAATTTTTCAAGCTACTTGAACTTAAAACCTTTTTGAATAATCTCAGTTATTCCTTCATTGTAAAATTGTATTTCAAGCACCCTAAGCCAAAGAAATCCATTCTCTAATCCAGTTATTTACACTAAGCTAACAGCGCTCTAATCAGACAAACTTAATGATTATACTCTCTTGAATCTAATCAACTTCATTTCTTCAGTATTTTAATTGGTATCTATGATAAATCTAATAAATTGCTAGTCTCCAATTGGCTAAGGAATATGTATAACCTTCTTTTTATTTGGCAAATTGAAAAATAATTTCATGTTTTCTATATAGTCATCATAGATATGCCTTGGTAATAATTAAGTTTAGCTCTATATTGTTATACCCTTAAAGAAAATATGATTCAATGGCAATCAATATGGGTCCAAAGTCTGAATCAGTTCTAAGTATTTAGATTTGGATTCAACTTCATCATCTTTTCTAAATACACTTGAGCCTGTAAAATCATATTGAAGACCTTCTAAATGTGTTATCTGATATATGGTCTCTAGATAATCATGATTATATTCCTGACTTAGACTTCCTATTGAGAGGTACTTAACATTGAGTCATTTAATTTCAGAAATTAGTAGAAAAAATCCTTTCTCTATTTGTTGAACAGATAGATATTCAATACTTTTAAATCCTTTCAAAAGTTAGTCATAGATGTCAAAGGAGCCTAGTATCTTTAGAGATTTCAAAACAATATTCTCATCTTAAGCTTAAAGATACCATTATTATTGTTCTTTGTATTAGTCCTACCATACATAATTCAGTACATTAAGAGTCCATTACATTTAAGGTATGTTAAAATTTCTGAGAAATTTATTTGTTTTATAGTAATTTGTATCAAATTATACTGTTTGTGGCTTCAACTGTTTTATAATTTCCACATATCATTTATCCATAAATTCATCTTGGAAATATTCAAGTCTAGTAATAATTATTAATTTCTTGATTTTTATTGTAGGATTTCTCAATTTGTAATTGAATAAGATCTCAAGTTACTGCTGAGTAGAAATTCTTACATTGATTATTTTATGCTATGTTTGATTCAATACCAAATATATCTCATTTAGCGAGTTTATTAATGATCTATCTTATTCCCAGCAATTTATGTACTAAATTTTATCATTTTTGCTCTCTACGTTTTGTATCTAATAATCTTTTACTAATTAGTAATTTTATATAACTTGTTTTCTGAAGTTATGGTTGATAATGAACAAATATTATATTATGTTCATATCATAATTGTCCTATGCATATAGAAAGATATCATAAACTAAGTATTTAGACTTAATTTTGCTAAAGTTTAAAATTTACACTGATTCCATTATTATATTTTAATTAGTTTATAATAATTTAAAAAACTCTTGATATTATTTCTTTTAATATTCTCGGGGTTTTGGGGTTTTGGGG